AAACCTTAAACCCAAACCCTAAACCCGCGTCAATGATGTGGTGCTGCCAGTCATTTACGAGGGCGCTCAGAAGCCGAGAAGGGGGATCTTGGGTCGAGGGAGCACCCTCCTTTGGGCTTCTACTGAGGATAGGCTCTAGGGTTTAGGGCTTAGGGTTTAGAGCTTTAGGGCTCCATTACAAGAACCCATAAGGGCTCCTGCAGGGTATCTATAATGCCCTTAGTTCCTTTTGGTGGGTTCTGTGGCTCGTAGGGTTTACAGTTTACAGCTTAAACTGAAAAACCTATACCGAAAAACCCTAGACCCTGAACCCCAAACCTCAAACCGCTCTTGGTCGGTTTATGCTACTCTTGCCCGACACCACAACTTGACGAAGCGTGTTAACCATTGTTGTACCCTAAACCCTAAACCCTAACCGTTCATCAGCGCTCTTATGCCGGGCTTGGCGTTCAAGGCTTCGGGTCATAGATTGGGCTGAAGGGTAGACGGCGAGTATGACTCGTTTAAACCCGAATCCCAAAGCCCTAAAACTTCTCGAAACACCACATCTCGAAGACCCTGAAGCCGAACGCCCTGAAGTCTAATTCCTAAAACTCTGGACTTTAAATCCTGGACCGGCCAGATCCCATCTTGGCTCCTTGAAAATCCTCATATGTACTGAAAAGCACGTTTTTGATACGAACAATGAAGAGCAATCAAACAAACCCTTTCCCAAAATCAAGTCGTTGCTGTAGGATCATCAGCCATAGAGCCACCACCCGCACTCCGTAAAGCCTACACGCTGAGCCGAACAACTTCAAACCGCCTACCTGAAGCGTCAAGCACTCCAAGCGGGTGAAGAACACTAAAGCCTTAAACCCACTCCCCTTCCTACTCCAAGTCGATAACCTAGCGACTGGCTCCGCGCTGCTCCCACGAAGCCACAGCACTGTTGTAACCTACGCCGCCAACAAGCAAGGGAGGAGTTGCATGACAAGCATAAGATGACGGTCGTGAAGAAACAGCAAGATGATGTTGACAGTGGTGACGCAGTGGTGAGGACGACGACTGCCAGCACAGACGCAGCAGCAGCAGCATCAGCAGCAGCAGCAGCAGCGGGAAGGGAAGTGCCAATGCCGACAACAACGACAGTAGGAACAACACCGGTGAATCACCATCGCAAGCACAAGAATCACCCACAAACACCACCAGCATCAACAGCACGACCATCAGACGATCACTACCACCACGACTGGTCGTCATGATGGGTCGAAGTCCGAGTCCCCGGCTCCAGCACCACCAGCACCACCGGCACCAGCACCACAACAACAACAGCAGCAGCAGCAAGACTGATAATAACAAGAACAGTAACAGTAGCTTGAAGAAGAAGAAGAAGAACAAGTACAAGAACGACTTCCCTACTGACAGTGGTAGTGATGGTCTCACGTCTGGCCGTGGTGACAATCTTTGCGTGGCTGCAGTCAAGGTGTGCGGTCTTGATAATTAGAATAGGTATGTTGCATTGCGAGTGCTAGTGACAAAACCATACGCACTACAGATTTTTCCTAACTCTATCTATCGGGAGATGACTTTAACCAACAGCCATGCAGCTTGGCTTGCTCGGGGTCAGGCGCGCCAGCCAAACTGCCTGCACCAGCCTGCCCGCAGTTTCGCGCTTAAGGTTTGAGAATCAAGGTTTAGGCTTCTAGGTGTTAACGAGTTTTGGGGGTTTGGGGTTTAGGGGTGGAGGGTTTAGGGGAGACCTGCGAACCACCAAGCCCCGAGCGCATATGTTATACCTTTACATTGCATGCCGTCTCGCAGCGCTAGACATACATGCCGCCGCACATACACACAACCATGCATGCAGATAGACAGAAATAACACACAGCAGCTCAGATACGTATGAAGGTGCATGCATATGCATATGTACATGTCTGTGTGTATGCATGTATGCATGTATGCATGTATGCATGTATGCATGTATGCATGTATGCATGTATGTATGTATGCACGCATGTATGTATGTATGTATGTATGTATGTATGTATGTATGTATGTATGTATGTATGTATGTCCTATGGTATGTATGTATATGTGTGTATACACATATACATATGTGTACATAAATGTAAAAAACAACAGTCGAATAAACATGTACACAAATTTTTGTGTGTATATATGTATATATATATATACACATATTCAGACCTGCGAACCAATCTACATTGTTTCCTTTCATCTGATTGTTCAAAGAACATATACACATAAATTCTGTCCCCACCGCAATCTCAAAAGCACCTCAGCGTTGATTGCCAGCGCCCAGCACGACCGCATGCAGGCAAAGCACTGTTGTAGCCTTGGGCGAGGAAATGCTGGCATTTCTAAGCTTGAGGGCATGCCACGCTCAATCCCAAGCAAGACCTCGTAAGCCTAGGCGCGGCTGACTGCACTAGATGTCGGCCGAAATGGAGAGCGCTGCCCGAGAGCAGAGAAAAGCAAAGACAGCAAGTCCAGGAAAAGACCCCGAATGCAGAGATTTAGAACGGGATTTTGGGACCCTGAAGAAAGTGATTTATAGTAGTTCTTCGTTCGAACCTACAGTAATTAAACTGAACCCGTCATCCTGCAATTCCACGAAAGGCTCTAGGTTAAACGCAAATCTTTCCATTTTGGCTCCCGCGGGCTGGCTTGCTCACGAGGCTGCGTCCTGCCCAAAACCGTTGTGAATGTTTTAAGTAGAACGGTTTAGGGTTTAGGTTGTAGGGTACTTGGGGCTGAGGGCCAAGATTGCTACCCGAAGCACACTTGGTGCAAGCCCCGACGTCGAGCTGCTGATGTCATCGGGTATACACCGGCAGAGCCCCATGCGCAGCAGCAGAGACAACGCCAGGGCCCACATACCTGCCGCCTTGCGAGGCTGCTGCGTGTGAATTTGAGACTTCTGTTTCATCTTATCATGGCCAGTGTTCTTGAACAGTTAGTACCTTCACCACCAGGAAAACCCTTTCAATCATTTGAAGACGTTTTCGGATGAGGTTTGAGGGGCTTCAGAGGCTTATGTTGGGCTGTTGCTTCTTGGTCTTTGAATTGGGAATAACTCCGAGATCAGGCACATCGGGACAGCCACCCCAGGAACTTACTGTTGATGGACAAAATCCTGCATGTCCCAAATATAGTATGGTACCATAAATCCCATAGTTTCGGTATATAAGGTCATGCAGGATTTTGTCCATCAACAGTATCAAAGCCATCTGTGTTCACTATGGCACCCTTATGGTAGCCCTTCGTGTAACCCTAAACCCTAAACCCTAAACTTGTGGTAGCCCTTCGTGTAACCCTTGTAGTAGCCCTGATAACTCCCCAGTTAGCCATTCCGGGCTCCTACATAATGCCCGCTCCCAACCCAAGGCCACCCGAAAGGCAGTACGAAGCTGTACCCATAACTACGCTAGGTTTAGGGTTTAGGGCTTAGGGCTTAGGGTTTAGGGTTTAGGGTTTAGGGTTTAGGGTTTAGGGTTTAGGGTTTAGGGCCAGGGTCTAGATGATTTAGCGTTGAGGGTCTTACGGTCTTAGAGTTTGAGGGTTTAAGTTCTTAGGAGAGCTTTGGCGTTAGAGCTTAGGGTTTAGATGGGTTGAGACCCTGACACCCTAAACAGGACCCTTCCGAACCTCGCAAGAAGCGAGGAGGCTGTTGTGGCCAATTTCGTCCAGCACCACGCGATCCCTGGCCTGAATTTAGGGTTTAGGGAATTAGGGTTTAGGGGGTTAGGGTTTAGGGAAGTTTAGGGAATTAGGGCTTAGGGCCTATAGGGGTTAAAATTCGGACACAAGGTTTGGGCGGGTCATATTCTACTATGGTGATATAGGGACTATCAACCCTAAACCCTAAACCCTAAACCTAAAAGGGGATAGTATTACACTGCCTGTGACATGTGGGTGCGGCAGGCAACCTTGAGATGCGAGTCCCTAAAACCCTAAACCCTAAATCCTGAACCCTAAATCCTAAATCCTGAACCCTAAACCCTAAACCCTAAACCCTAAATCCTAAATCCTAAACCCTAAACTAAACCCTAGACCCTATAAGACTGAGATGTTGAGCAATCGAGCCGAATAGCACAGGAGGAGCTCTATAGTCCAGCTTCTCTAACTTTCTACCATAAGGGCCTTAGAAATCAGGAATAGTGCTTCTGGAGTCTATTCTAGGTTCATCATAGAATGATTAGGGTCTAGGGTTTAGGGTGTACTATACGAGGATACGATTACTACTTACTCTTCCCACCACAAAGCAGCTCGAAGTGCAAGCTCCCGAGGGACGGACTGAGCTTTAAGATTCCCAAACCCGACCTTAAACACCCCTGAGTCCCTAAACCCCTGACCCCCTAAATCCCTAAACTCCTAAACCACCAGAACCCCTAAACCCCCTGAAGCCCTAAACCCCTGACCGACCTCTGCACCCCAACCGTGAGATCCGAAATCCGTTCCCCAAACCCTTTCACAGCTTTAGGGTGGAGGGTTTAGGGCTGTTTCATTAAAGCCTCCCGTTCACACCTTTAGGGTTTAGGGTTTAGGGATTCTTTATTAAAGCCTCTACACTTTAAACCCTAAACGTTCACACCTTTAGGGTTGATGGTTTAGGGTGTGTATGAAAGCCTCTAAACTTTAGACCCTAAACCCTTTCAACCCTAAACCTGCTAAGCCCGATCCCGAGGCCTAAACCCGTCAAGAAAAGGGTTTAGGGGTTTAGGGGTTTAGGGTTTAGGGTTTAGGGGTTTAGGGTTTAGGGGCTTAGGGTTTAGGGTTTAGGGGTTTAGGGTTTAGACCATGGTCTGCCAGGAGACCATGGCTCCCTCCAGCCGCAAAGCCCGCTGCCAGGCACCCACGCCTAGCCAGGCACAGAGAAGTCTTGGGTTGAGGGTTCAGGGTTGGGTTTCAGAAACAGGGTTTAGGGTTTAGAATTTAGGGTTTAGGGTTCAGGGTTTAGGGTTTAGGGTTAAGGGTTTAGGGTGTGTTTAGTATCCTAGGGGAAGCCAGGGTTAACCTTTTGGGATTATATCGGGAGTATAATACCCAGCAGGTTCAAGGTTACCTACCCTACCGCTAAGTCAGTCTTGGTCACTCCGGAACTTGCAAAGACAGGGTTTATAGGGCTCAGGAGGATGTGTGCAGCAATTCATCGGAGCAGGATGCACGCTAGCGACAGTTCACAAATACCAGATGACAAAGCTGGAGGAAGAACTGAAGAGCTGTGCTCTTCAAGTGACATTTTTAGTAGGGGACGCAGCTGCAAAAGGGTAGGGTCCTAGCAGCCAACTGATCATCGGAGCCGCTGGCACAGGCGCTGATGGCACCGTTGTAGCTGAAATCGTTGGGAGTGATCCTGCAACGAGTGTTGCGCAAGACGACGGTCCGAACAAGTGCAATGCAGCGATGCAAACGACAAGATTAAGTGCCCTATCATTTCCTGCAATTGAAGCGGGGCTCTGAAGCCAACAAACGTCCTCTGAATGTCCCACACTCTATGTCACAAAACCAGCTTCCACATCTGCTTTCTTCAGATCCCCTGCAGCTTCTGCTGATTGAAGTTCGAAAAACTACCAGGGAGCAGCCACCAGCCTGCACCCGGGCATTCGCTGTAGAATCTGCATGGCCCTGCCCAGCCCGACACAGATGATGATAAAAAGCGGACAGACACGGCTACCACCACTCCTACTCCTTCTCCTACCCGTTCCCCTACTTCTCCATCTCATTCTCCTCACCCTACTCCTATACTCCTACTCTTACGTCTACGTCGACGCCAAATCAGACTCCTGCTCCTACTCCTCCCCCTCCCCGTCCCGGTCCCACTCCAGTCCCAGTCCAAGTCCCACTACTCCTCGCAATACTGCCACTGGGACGACGACGGCAACTACCACTAACACCACCATCACCACCACGACTACCTAATAACTACTACTGCCACCTACTACCACCACCACCACCACCACCACTACGATTAATAATGATTACTACCACTACCACCGCCAATCGCTCCTGCAAGCAACGAAGCTAGCAGCTACAGAGACTGACCCTCCTCTCGGTTTCCGTAGCTCCAAATCCAAGCCTGGGCCAAACTAAAGCCTGTCTCAAACCAAAGATCTGCGGAAACGGCAGTTACTGCTGCAAAACCCAAACCCAACCAGTTTAGTGTCATGAATCATAGTAGCCAGTCGTCTGCTTACTAGCTTTAAGTTACCTTAAGGACCCTAAACTCTGTGAACTTCGGTATATTTCCTAGTTACGGGTAATGCAGGATTCGTATCATCAACCGTAATTATTTGCTATAACCATAAACCCTAAACCCTAAACCCTAAACCCTAAAACCCTAAACCGTTTGACTGTAGTCGGCCTGGCCCACTGGCCACCACGTTCACAGGCACTGAGACCGCTACTTTGGCTGATCTCCTGGGCTGTTCTGCAAGCTGCTTAGGGTTTAGGGTTTAGGGCTTAGGGTTTAGGATTTAGGATTTAGGGTTTAGGGGAGTTTAGGATTTTGGATTTAGGATTTAGGGTTTAGGGTTTAGGGAATAAGATTTAGGGTTTAGTACCGGGTTTAGGGTTTAGGGGTAGGACAGACATTGCCAGAAAGGCATTAAGCAAGCCATAGAAGCAGGAGCGAGGTCGTTCTTGAATTATTGACTTTGATAAAACTGCTAGGTTTCAGGGCCCTTGACCCTAAACCCTAAAACCCTAAACCCTAAATCGCCCCAAGTGCAATCTGGGCTTGAAGGCCCGACGAACTGATGATGCAGCACATGCCCAAAGCTGGCTGTCTCCCCCTATCCCGCGGCTTGAACATCAGCCCATGCATGGAACAAAAAGTATATATATATATATATGTATAGGTATCGATATACATATAGAGAGAGGGATATAGATATAGATATATATATATATATATATTTATTTATTTATTTAAGAAGCTGACTCCCAATTATCTTCAGCTCGAGGCTTGTCAGCAAGCGATGTCTTACGGTGAACAAGGATGTAGGGCCACAAGGCTAGCACTGGATCGACCGCGAATGCAGCGAAGGCGAGGCTCATCTGGAAGAATTCGGACGCTGCACATGTCTCGCAGCAACTGCACCGCAATGCGCCACTGCCTAAGGCGGATCTGCAGAAAGGTTCCAAACGACCGAGAAATCCGGAGACATGATCCCATCTCGGCAAAGCTGCCGCACTCACGGTGCGGTGGATGGCTTCACTTCACTTCCGAATGCGGAAAAGTTGGCAAAGGTGGCAGACGTGACAAATTGACAAGACCTGCATCATGATGGATCCTAAGCTAATTCTTCCCGTATCGTTCACACCGTCCTGACGATGCCGCACGACTTTCTGCCGGAAACCCCCTGCAACTATCACAGCTTTGTCGAAGAATACTGCTCTGTCCCTCTCACAGTCTGCAACTCCGAGTCCTACAGCCGCAGCAGCAGCAACAACAGCAACAGCTGCAGTAGTAGTAGTAGTAGTAGTAGTAGTAGTAGTAGTAGAAACAAATAAGTAGTAGTAGTGGTAGTAGTAGTAGTACTACTACTACTACTACTACTACTACTACTTCTCCTACTTCTCCTACGAGTTCTACTGCTCCTTCTCTTTCTCCTTCTCCTTCTACTTCTTTACTTCTACTTGGACTTCTACTTCTACTACGACTACTGCTACTACTGCTGCTACTGCTACTGCTGCTTCTACTACTAGTGCTACTTTGCTTCTACTGCTACTACTGCTACTACAGCCACAGCCACTGCCACTGCAACCGCCACCGCCACATCTCCTCCTGCTGCTGCTGCTGCTGCTGCTGCTGCTGCTGCTGCTGCTGCTGCTGCTGCTGCTTGCGCTGCTGCTTCTGCTCCTGCTACTACTACGGCTGCGGCTGCGGCTGCGGCTACTGCCTCTGCTGTCTGCTGCTGCTGCTGCTGCTGCTGCTGCTGCTGCTGCTGCTGCTGCCGCGGCTGCTGCTGCTGCTGCTGCTGCTGCTGCTGCTGCTGCTGCTTGCGCTTCGCTGCTGCTTCTGCTCCTGCTACGGCTGCGGCTGCGGCTGCAGCTGCGGCTACTGCCTCTGCTGTCTGCTGCTGTTGATTCACCTGCTGCAGCTGCTGCTGCTGCTGCTTGCGCTTCGCTTCTGCTCCTGACATCCCCTCCTCGTCCTGCTCGTGGTCCTATACCGCGGCTGCCGTTCTGATTAGGTTTCTGGCATCGCGCCTGCCAGGCTCTTCGGCGCTCAGCGTAGCACTGTAGCATATCCGATTCGGAAGCACCTGCATCGGTCTTTAAAGCGAATGCTGTGTAACAAATATAAGTTTTACAAGGCTTCGACTGCTTGATATCAAGCCCGTACTGCCGAATGTTGTGGCTGTAGGAGACGAAAGTGGCCGCTTGCCCGGCCTGCCTTACCCGCCCCACTGTCCTGATTTAGTTCACCTGCTTCACATGGACGTCGGGCAGGTGGCCACATATGCATGTCCCGTCCTCATGCTCATGGGGCACATGGAACAACACTCAGAATCTCTACGCGAGGACAAGATAACCTCCACCCACGCTTGCAATCGGCCTTACACTTGTGGTTCAGGCATTGCATGTCTTGCAAACCTACCTTCAAAACCACAACCCTGAACTTTCGAAAGCAATCAAAGGCAAACTGATCCCGCGACCCTACACAACAGAGTCTTGATAAAAAAACAAACTCAAGACCACAGTGTCAACAAAACGGTCATAGATAATCCAGTTCCCAGATCCATAACATAACATTAAAAAACCCTAAACCCTAAACCCCTAAACCCTAAACCCTACACCCCTACTAAACCCTAAACCCAAAACCCCAAGCCTAAGCGAAACTATCGACCTCGACCCCAAAGTTAAGGTTTTAGGATTACGGGGGGTAAAGCTGGCAACCTCGACCCTGAGCCGGACCCTAAGCAATACAAACAAAAACTGAGGCTTCGGTGTGGGATTGGGGCGAGGTTATGGTTTGCGGTTTGCAGATTAATGTTTGGGGTTGATCCTATCTTGATTCCACAGGTGCTGTGAAAGGGTAGTTCTCCGAATTTAGTGCTTACTGCTCCTACATCGCGTACCTTTTGCCTGCAGAACTTGGTTCCGGGACCATCAGATCTTGAATCCGAAAACCCCGAAGCCCTGACTCTGGCACTGTAGAAGCCTTAATAATTAGAGTAGGGTTTTGGGGTATATTATACTATAAATCTGATAACGAACCCCCAAACTAATATTGGTAATTATTTAAGCCCCTATAGTACTATGAAAGACTCAATAGACACCCATATGACTCCTTAGGCTTCCTTGTTATAGTTAGACTCTAAGGCCCCCCCCCCCAAAAAAAAAAACAACCTATTCTAATTATTAAGGCCCCTTTTCCTTTTTATAGTTATACTATAAGGTCCAAGAAAACCCTATTCCAGTTCGTAAGGGGTTTAGGGTTTAGGGTTTAGGGTCCCTTCATTACTTGGAGCCTAATGGGGGCGTGTGACCTGTTATGGAAGGCTCGCCTCGAAGCATCGCATCCTTCTGAGCCTGGAGATAGGTCGTTCTCCAAATTAGGGTGAGTTTCATAAGGGGTGTCCTTTTGTAGCTGTCATTGGATGGGAAGTTCTCTAAATTAGGGTCGTTTTTTTTAGGGTGTCAGCTTTTAGCTGTAGATGGGCAGATCTCTAAATCAGGGTCATGTTTATAAGGCTGCCGTACTAGTTTGGGGACCTGAAGAAGGACCCTAAGTTAGAGAGCTACCCAGATGGCATGTTGTGATGGGGTCTGATCTCAGAGCTTCCATTACAAAGTCCTAACGTGGCGGAAGCTGTCCACAGCTGAGGCCCAAGGTCCTGACATTAACAACGATGAGCAGGCGGCTACTTTGTCCGAATACCATTGCGATGACTCGTTCGATACAACAGCTCACAGACAACCCACAGAAGACAGGATGCAAGATGCTCCAAGTCAGCCTGGAACTAAAGCTGAGGCTGTTCCCTTTACCTTTACCTGCGCCCTGCTCGGTGTATGACTCGGAGAGCGAGTGATGTGGGAGCTTTCCGGAAAAGGAACCCCCCCGAAATTGTAGGACCTTGATGGCAGGATCATTGCTGGAACCCAGTTGCACAGCAAAGAGTGGGATAGCTCAAAATACACCGGCATGGGCATCATCACCAGCGACAATGACTATGAGAGTATTATGAGCATTGTTTGTGCATGACCACGGTTGCTAAGAAGAAGTTTTCGCCCCTAAACTCCACCGCCTGAAGTTTGCCAATCTTTCAGCGCAGTTGCAACTCTACTTGAACTCTTCAACGCAGCGCTCAGGACCCCAAAACAGAGGACCGACGTGAGAGTATCGGTAAACTGAGATAGAGGCCGAAAGAAATATTAACACTATTCCTTGACTAAGGGTTCCTTAACCTCATCATGATAGCAATATAGTTTGCCTGAAACCCGACTCTTGTTATAAGATCCCTATGCTATGCTAGGCCGGGCGGCACGCAAACGGCGAGCTCCCAGTGCGAGGGCTTCTCCAGGGCAGCAAGCTGGCTTCCGAAGCCTTTCAGAACGCTGGTTTGGGGAATTGCTACTTGTTACATACTACTTAGTACTTACTGATTACTACTTACTACAGCCGCTGCTGTTTCTACTTCTTCTTCTTCTACTACTACTACTACTACCACCACTACCACTACCACTTCCACTACCACTACCACTACCACTAAGACTACGACTACGACGACGACGACG